TTAAATCGTCATCGAACGTTAAGCGTGTGGACGCTACGGGTTCAGAACTATGTAGACATGACCGAGACACCTCTCCGGTCAATAACCAATAGCGGAACCTGGATGATCATATTGGCTCCTACATATTCTACGATCTTTATCGATCGAGCCGTTATGACAACATACGTTATTCCCTTTGTCATCGGTATGTTACTTGCCCGAGATTCGATCGTCGTTATCCACATACCTAGTTCAATCTTGTTACCGACAAGTCTCTTTACTCATTCTGTAATACATCATCTTGTAACTAACTCATTAGTCACTTTGCTTGCAAGGCTTTTTATGATGTGCATTACCGAGAGGGCCCAGAGATACCTCTCCGATACTCGGAGTGACAAATCCTAATCTCGATCTATGCCAACCCAACAAACACCTTCGAAGATACCTGTAGAGCATCTTTATAATCATCCAGTTACACTGTGACATTTGATAGCACACGAGGTATTCCTCCGGTATCCGGGGGTTGCATAATCTCATAGTCGAAGGAATATGTATTTGACATGAAGAAAGCAATAGCAATAAAACTCAACGATCATTCTCCTAATGATGTGATCCCGTTCATCAAATGACAACACATGTCTATGATTAGGAAACTTAACCATCTTTGATTAACGAGCCAGTCTAGTAGAGGCTTACTAGGGACACGGTGTTTTGTCTATGTATCCACACATGTATCAAGTTTCCACTTAATAAAATTCTAGCATGAATAATAAACATTTATCATGATATAAGTAAATATAAAATAATAACTTTATTATTGCCTCTAGGGCATATTTCCTTCAGTTCCAGCCAGCTGCGAGATTGGGGGACGCGACTTCCGGTGAAAATCGTGCCGACTTCAGTCATGGCGGATGATGGCGGCGTCTATGACGTTGTTCCCTTCTCGAGGCATCGTTTGTTGCAGGTCGTGGCACCCCGCTCGTGATGCTCCGGGGGAAATCCGAGATCTGGATCTACCGGATCGAACGATGACGGTACCTTTGATGCCGTTGTCCCTCCTGAGGGCATCATTTTGGAGCAAGTGCTAGTTGGACGGGACAAGCGGAAGAGCGGTGTCTCATCCACCGCAAGAACCGACGGTGGATCCCGGTGGCATGGTGCTGCGGAGGTTCGGCAACGGGCGCGTGTGGACGGATACGTGTAGGATGGTGGAGTTGTATGGCGTCGTGGTGACGTCGATGGCAGGCCAGGCAAGGTCGATGGGTCAGTTTCTGCTCTGGAGATGGACCGGTGGAAGATGGTGGTGGCAACCTCTGAGAGTGTGTCGGTCCGGTATGGGACCCAGTCCCGGTGTGTGGCTGGGCTGGACATCCGGTTTTAGATGTTAGGGTTTGGTGCGATGTCCGTTTGGTATTAGGCATGGATATTCAGCACATCTTCATCAATGGAATAGGAGTAGCAACAGATGTTGTCTAGATGGTGACTTCAGACTGACTGATGTATTACTTTTTATGGCCTCTGTGAATAATTAATAAGATGGCCGCATGCATCATCCAGATGCAGAGGCCGGGGGTTTATCCTTCCTTTAAAAAAAGACTGAAGACACAAACTGGGAGATCACCCGACGAATCAACCGAATTTAACAAGCCAAAAATGTTCTTATATTGTTACTTCAAATATTTATTTTCCATGCAACCAATTCTCATTAAAGTATATTGCAAAACGTTCACGCAATAACATGTGAGGTACTCCCTACATAAACAAATATAGAGCATTCAGATCACTACTTTAGTAATCTGAACGCTCTTATATTTCTTTACGGATGGAGTATCATCTAGCTAGGGAAGAGTACAGTAACATGTCAGGAAAAAAGAAAAAAATATTCAACGATCATTTTCACCGTTACCCAGGAAGTAAAAGCACCAGCATCATTGGGAGCACACACCACGTGCTATATTCCTACGGATCCTGCAGTGAGTTTCAACCCAATCTAGACCGAAGAACTGACACAAATTGGGAGGTCACCGGACGGATCTACCGAATCTAACGAGCCAAAAATGTCTTGGCAATGTTTGACTGAACCAGATTACCCACCAACAGGCAGCAGCAGTTGTAGCGGCAGCAGCCGACCACCGGGGAACAAAACTACAAGCTACTCCACCAGCCGGGGAGTAGAACGGAGAGTATCCAACCGCACCATCGCGTGCCGACGCTCGGTGAGTGGAACGTTTCAGGGGAGCAGATCGACGAAATCCACCAGCGATTTGTGCTGGGCACATGCCTGCACGGAGCATGGCCGGCGCGTAAACTCGTGGCGTGCGACCGGCTGCCTCGTGCGTGCTACCGATCGATCGCTGCGAGATAAGTGAGGAAGGGAGCCAAGATTTGCTTGCAGGATGGAACCATGAACGCCCATGATCTCTCTTTAAAAGTTACGACTGCCCGCGGAACGAACATCGCCGAAAAGCAGCAACATATCGGCGAAAATACGAGCACGCGTGTCAAGTCTAAATTTTAGACCTGGATATACCAGTTTAATCGAAAGAAAACCTAACCATCTAAGTTATGCTCTCGGTTGGAAGAGTAGGAAATATCCGCGCAAAAAAGAAAAGGAAGAGTAGGAAATAATCTTGTGACCTTGGCAGCCGCATTTTGGCCATGTGGTAGGCACTGGGGGTTTCGGGGTTTCAATAAGCGTTACAAGAGGGATGTAAAGATCTCGTTGATGCTGATCTAATTGATGCTGCACCGTACATAGGGTAACGATCCAGGATCGAATAAAAATTTAGGCCAGACTGTACGCAGGAGCGGTTGGTGTTGCATCGCCTTTTGGAAGCAACACAAAGCGTCGCCCTCGACTGAACGTCGCTGTTGGTCACTATCGAACACAAAGTTCGTTGCCAAAGTTGTGGACGAACTAAAATAATTAATCCCATTACGTTCACTTTTCTGGGTTGCTTGTGCCCAAAATAAGACGATGTGGGATGGGTAGTCAACCTGTCAAACTGGCCAATTATCGACGTATGTATGTCCTCTTCGGGGGAGAAGTTGAAAAGATTTCTCATTTAGAAATTTGTGCGACGGCATGTGTTATCTTCAGCCAAACCGAACCTCGGTGCACTTTGCCTCAACTACAAAGATAGCCACTTGCAGCTAGCAAGGATAACCATCAACCCAACCCAGCTGCACACTCAGCAGCATGCTAGAAAATAGAAGACGTTGATAATTGGTAACAAAGCTGTGATTGAAGTGATAACGATCCTTGTGGCTTTTTTCGCAAAAAAAGAAAAAAGATCCTTGCGGCTTTTCTCCTGGGACTGAAAGTGGCTTAATCAATTTTATACTAGCATCAACTTGCACGCGATGCATTGAACTGGATCTTAAATACAGTTGGGCTTGCTAAGCATGCCAACAATGAGGAGGCGATGCGATAAGCCTCCATTAGTGGGCGGCTAATGCGCGCTTTGGCCTTTTGCGTTGCAGGGAACACAAGGCATTTTGCCCTGCTGAATTTAGTTTTTGGGGAAGATGGACAGGTTGTATTTGATGCCGAAAGACATGCAAACCAGTCATACTGTGCCCCAAGACTATCTCCAGGCAACTTGGCCGTGTGTCATGTGTGACGAACTGACGATGCTGGAGAGAATCCTAACTTAAAATGAAGGCGCGAGCATTATTACGGTATTATTATTATTAGAAAGGAGCTTTTGAGTAGAGCAATGTGTTGCTCCAAATGATGGAGGAAATGGCACACAATGTTTACTCGTCGGTCGTCACGGCGTGTTTACTCCAGGAATCTGTCCCTGTACAGTGCACGGTGTCAGGGGCATGGGAGAATTGGGGCAGGGCGGAATGGGCGCTGCCTTGTTGCCGCCCACATGACAGCCCGCACAAGGGCATGTTGGCGTGATGGACGACAGGTTTGCTCCGGTGCTTGACCCTCTGCCTCCCATGTGACCTGAGCGAGATGAACGGAGGTAACCGCGGCGCGTACGGTGCAAATCACGACGGTTTGTGTTCCTTCTCTCCGACTTTTTCCTGTCGCCGGAACTCGCGGAGGCCTTGAGTTGGCCAACGGGCGAGTGGGCCGGCGACTGGTAAAAGGACGAGGAGCATGGTCCCTCCACACTTCTTACGGAACACATGCTGTTTTTGCCAAACAGGAACAAAAGAACGCGATTTTCTAATAGCTTTGCAAAAAATCCAAGGTCAAGCCGCAGTGAGAAATTGGAACGAACATGCCCACACCATAACTTACAGACACCCCACCCCGCAAAATAAAAATAAAAAAATCCTTACACACACCCCAGGCATGACCGTCTTAATCCATTATTCGGTGTATTCCATATGCTTACCGTCGTCCGAAGATCCAAATGTTCCTTTGATTTCATTTTGTTCACGCTATTCCCGTCTTGCACACACCATCATCACAACATAGGCATATATGCACCAGGAAATGACCAGTTACCACACAAATACTCCAGTAACAAGGGCTTTAACCTTGTTGGTCGCTGTAGACTAATATTTCAGTCAGCAACTCCACATACCCAACCTTTTCAGAGGAAGGCCACTAAAACAGAACCACAAAGAGATACCCAAGTAACCCAACAAAACATCACACAAATGAGTACAACTAGTCTTTACATCTGAATTTAAATTAAGAAATCTCTCAAATTACTGGTACTCGGGAGCCTGAACCGAGAAGCAGGCGCCCATTGTTCAGCTATCTTTCAACAGGCTAAAGGTAATTGCTAATTTGTCTCAGCTGAAGAACATGTGGTTTAAGTCCACATCAAAATGATTTGGCGGAACTATCAAAGCCTGGGTAACGGTTCTGATATCTCTTGACCTTTCTTTAGGTGAGGGGAACAGCTTAATGACAATAAATACATCAACAAGGGCTATGATCTATGAAGTACAGCCCTGAATTGGCAGATCAACACGAAAATATAAGACTATGAATGTACAGCATGAAAATTTTTGTTTATAGAGCTGAACTCCGGTAACTCATACAACCTTCTTCACTCTAGAGATTTGAGAAGCCTGAACAAACCAGCTGCTTCTCTTATTCGAGAAAACGCAATGCAGAAGGCTTGTACCTCAATGAATAGATCTTCAACTGCACAAAACAAATACTTCACAGTATAACCATTTTGATCTTAATCAGCAAAGAAATAAGTACAACAAGGATGAGCATACCCATTCTATGATTCAAATCACCAATCTCCCAATTAACATAACATTTTATGCAACTGGTGTGAAATTAGAAAATATGCAGGATTCAAGAAACCAGTGGGTTTTTTCTTTAAAAAGATGGCCAGGATTGTCTAGAACATTGCGTGAAGCTCAATTCAGAGCATCTACATCCGGACACCCACTTCTAACCTAATGTCCGGGCAGACAGCCCAGACTGAAAATAGCTACCCAACCGGACAGCCCAAACCCAGCCCATATGTCCAGCACCCCTCATATCCAGCCCGCATGGCAGGCGGATATGGGTCGGCCCGAACACACCCTGGCATGTCCGCCACGTCGGACTGGCC